ATAGTGCCATTTTTGTCACATTTAATTGTCTATTTGGTTTATGTGCAACATAAAATGAACTTCAAACCTTTTTGTAATGCTGTAATGTGTTTCCATCTCTGTTTTTAGTACCCCAAAGCCTTTGCAGCAAGTCTTCTGGACTATGTAGGCTCCCAGGCCCAGTACCTCCACACTCTGCTGGCCATGAGTCAGAGTAACAAAGTGGAGTCCCAGCAGCACGCTGAGAGGCTCCGCTTCGCTGAGATGGCTTTGGAGGCTCTCCGCAATGTCATCAAGAACAACCCCGGTAAGATATGACACTTCCTCCACTTCTACTTTGTAGTAATTTTATTTAGATGTCTTAACTTTTCTAAGCTGTCATCTTTGTATGATTTCAGGTTCGGAGTCGGAGTGCATCGGCCATTTCAAACTGCTCTTCTCTTTGTTGCGGGTTCACGGAGCTGGAAGAGTACAGCAGCTGGTTCTGGAGGTAGAGGTTCTTGGTCCTGATATCTAATTATGACTGTGGTTCCCAATGTCTGTGCATTTTACCCATAGTGTGTTTCCTCTGCAGGTTGTGAATACAGTGACGTCAAACCAAGAATGCGTTAGCAACATTGCCGAGTCGCTGGTGTTGTCCAGCCTTCTGTTGCTGCTGCACTCTCTCCCCTCCAGTAAAAATACTATCATTGACTGACAATTTTTGCTCTTTGCTCTCCACTTTCTGTGGACTAACATGTTTTTTGTGCATCATTCAGGCAGACAAATGGTGCTGGAAACCTTGTATGCACTGACTTCCAACACAAAGATAGTCAAAGAGGCTATGGCTAAAGGTCAGTGTATTTCGTTCATTTCTTCTACATATTTGTGGGATTTCTGAGCGCACAGATGCTCAAGTTAATCCATTTGTTCCCCAGGTGCTCTGATCTACTTGCTAGACCTCTTCTGTAACTGCACACATCCCCAAGTCCGCACACAGACTGCAGAGCTCTTCTCCAAGATGACTTCAGACAAGCTGGTCGGGCCAAAGGTCCGTCTTGATATGAATATGAATAGAAAAATTTAAACGATAGATGTCCTCCTTGCGTCATCGTATATATCCTCATCTCTGCCAGGTGCGTTTAACGCTGATCCGCTTCCTTCCTGGCGTGTTCATGGACGCCATGAGAGACAACGCCGAGGCAGCCGTGCACATATTCGAGGGAACGCACGAAAACCCTGAGCTCATCTGGAATGACAGCTCGAGGGAGACGGTGTCCACTACTGTCCGGGAGATGATGCTTGAGTATGACATGAGCCCAATTCAATACATTATTTAACCAACACCTAGCTGAGTAGTTTAAAATATTGGATTATCCCAACTGTCTAATATTGGGGTTTTTTCCAGGCACTTTAAACAGCAGAAGGACAATCCTGATGTGAACTGGAAAGTAAGTATAATTGTATATTACTTAGAATAAAACGGTTATTAAAGGATTCAAGGATAATTTATTGTAATTATGCACCACAGGGGTGTACAACACAATGCAGCTGTAGCCCATTTTCAACACAAGAAAAACAGTAGTAAATATGCTGTGTATGATTTAATGTGACAATAGATTCTTTGTTTGTGTGCTCAGTTGCCAGAGGACTTCACCGTGGCGTATGGAGCTGGACAGGGCGAGCTAGAAGTTGGTGGTGTCTTCTTGCGCATCTTTATTGCTCAGCCAGGCTGGGTGCTTCGCAAGCCACGAGAGTTCCTGGTGTCTCTTCTGGAGACCTTGACTGAGCTGCTGGAGAAAAACAACCCCAATGTGAGCTTCCTTGCTGAGAAACACAAACACACGAGATTTAAAGTGGCGCTTTTGTGCGATTCTTTGTGGAGAAACTCCGTTTTAAGTCGACAAAGTCGTGTTCATTCACTCAGAACTTCTTTGGTCGAGATCAGCTCTAGTTCTTACACTGACGTCTTCACTTCTTCCTGTGATTCTCCTGCAGGGTGAGGCCCTGGAGACCGTGACCACAGCAGCAGTCTGTCTGTTCAGCTCACAGAGCCAGCTGGCCGACCAGGTTCCTCCTCTGGGTCACCTGCCTCGTGTCCTGGCAGCACTCAACCACAAGAACAACGCTGTGCCCAAGAGCTCCATCCGTCTCATCCACGTGCTGTCAGACAATGAGGTGAGGAGCCAAACGTGCATATTTAGCTGTCTTTTTTTTAAGCTTTCCCGACTTTCTAAACCTCGTTTCACACAAAGACGACTGCAAACTTTTAACAGCAATACTGTGTCTGTTTGTGTGCACAATACTAAATCCCTTTAAGTTAAGGATTCACACTCGGAAGAGACCAGAGTTGATGTGTTACGAACAGTCACAGTCTCACTTTGCTTTCTTAAGATTTGCCAACAAACGATGTATAGTGCAGCTGTCTCCTTTCCGCACTATGACACACTTCTTTGTGTTTGTGTTTTGTCTAGCTGTGTGTGCGCTCCATGTCTGCTCTGGAGACAATCGGCCCCCTCATGACTGGGATGAAAGCTCGGGCTGACATGGCCGGGTTAGCTTGTGAAGCTCTCAACCGCATGTTCCAGAAAGAGCAGACGGAACTAGTAGCCCAGGTAAACTAACACCATTAATATTATTTTGATTTGGTTGTGTGCATCATGTTTGAATAATAAAAAATATATTTTATCATTGAACTGAACAGGCTCTCAGAGTGGAGCTGGTCCCTTATCTCCTGAAGCTGCTGGAAGGAATCGGCCTGGAGACATTAGACAACCCTTCAGCCACTAAGGCCCAGATAGTAAAGGCTCTCAAGTCCATGACTCGCAGTCTGCAGTACGGAGAGCAGGTACGATAGGAATACATGACCAGCAGCATTATCAGTTAAAACCACTAAATGATCAGAACTGTTAATTGGTCAAAGTTACATCACACTGATTATTTGTCGTATTTGAAACTCTTTGCAGGTGAATGAGATTCTTGCCAAGTCTTCAGTGTGGAGTGCCTTCAAAGACCAGAAACATGATCTTTTCATCTCAGAGTCTCAGACCGCAGGTTACCTGACAGGTAAAGTATTTCTATAAACTTAACCTGCTATTAAACACTCTGCATCACAAAAAATGGGACATTTTCCTAACAAAGCTGTTGAAATGATTTTGCTGTCGGTGTTTCAAAGGTAAGTCTTGTGTGCCTTTCTCTGAGCTGTTCTTGAATCTTAATGCTTTGCTTTATCCTCAAACCACCTTGTTGCTGACTCCTCACTTGTGCTTGAACCCAGAGACCCTTTCTGTCTCCACGTCCTGTAACTTCCTGGCTCTGCCCTTCCCTTCCTCTTTGTCCTCCACGTTTCCTCCTCAGGGGTATCCACTCCTTCTCTCATGGCCGCCAGTAGCCCACTGCGAGGGGGGCTCTAGACTCCTAAGCTGGGTCCTCCCAGCCCTCCTCTCTCTTGCTCTGATGCAGGTAGACGTTGACCTCGCTCCTACTACCATTCCTTGCCCCTTTACCGCCATCTTTGACCCACACTTTAATTTTCCATTCCCACCTCTCCGTCTTCAAAATCGCTAACTTCATCTCCATCCAACTATTACTAATCACTAACACAAATAACCTGGAAAATGAAAAGCTTAGTCAGTGTAGTGATCACGCCTCCATACGTAAAGTAGTTGTCTTTTAGTTTAGCTCATCATTGTAGCTCACCACTAGCACCCCGGCTATCCCACCTAGTAGCACCTGGTCTGACTTGTATCTATGTTCCTGTCACCTGTAGGTCCAGGAGTAGCAGGTTACCTTACAGCAGGAACTGGCACCCCGGTAATGCCCAACGTCCCACCCCCTGTGGACAACGACATTGGAGACCAAGGCTGATGGACACACTCACAGTCACGCTCAGGCACCCAGACTGCCCTGCTGCTTCAATGGCTGCAGCTCAGAGAGGGACTGTCCAGCTCCCAGACGAGGGGATGGGGAGAGAGAGAGAGAGAGAGAGAAAGAAAGACGGAGGAGAGCGGGCCGTCATTGACCGTCACCAAAATCTCTGCAACACCTCCTCCAGCATCACTCTCCTCTCCACTTAGAAATGGCACTCAAGTTTTCACAAACACTTTTGAAATAGTTTTAACGGATGACCACGTTTGTTTTGTTTCTGTGCTACTTTTCTTGTTTCTTCCAATGACACACAGAAGAGTTTACTTTTTGTATGGATATATTTTTTACTCTAGATTTTGTTTTTTCATGAGAAAGACATTGGAATACTGAGGCGTCTTGTAAGTCAACTGTCTCTTCTCTGTCATCTTATTCCTCTCTGTCATATCCTGATTGGCTACACTTTATCCAAATCCTGAACAGAGGATATGCTTTGGCCATGTTTGTGACACATTTGTGCACAGGACCTATCCACCGCTTACATAAACATTTACTAGTTTACATAATGGATTCTCATATGGAAAAGGAAGAAAAATGTTAAAGTAGGTAATCATGTGTAAGATCTCGCTGCCTTGTTCCTCCACAAGAAAATGTCTTTTGAACCCTCGGAGTGATGCTGACCTCTTGTCTGGTCTGGTCACCCTCTCAAAGTTGACAGATCTATTCTCCAAATGTCCGGCCTGTTATTCCTCTGATCTTAATTCATAGTTTGTTCTGCTCTCTCTTTGAAGGCTACCCTTTCTGCCTCACATTTTTTTTTTTTTTTTAAAGTGATTCTCCTTCTCCCCCAGAATGCAAAAAGCACTAGAATATTTATAAGTGAATAATAACCAATGGAAATGAGCTTCTGCTAAGACATGACAAATGATGTTGACTGATCATGTGAAAGACTAGTGCAATTTGTGAAATGTTCAATGTAATATTACGTATATACACTTTCTATAATGAATGTACATTAAAAAAAAAAAAATCAGTCGCACTTGTACATAAAATTTTAAGAATAAAAGGGAACCCACAGTGTTCTTTCGTATTTACATTTGTGTTTGTCGAAGTCGCAGATATTTCAACAGAAAGAGCAGTTTGTTTGCTCATGTTTGAACGTTGCTACGGCCTGCAACGTCAAAGTGTTCTCTGAAGTTGAGATGATTTAACATTTCATATTTGCATGCTATTAAATCTGCATGCGATCAAATATTTAGCTTTACTCATAATCTTGAACAGAAATTATAGGTTTCTTGTAGGAGCGTGCGTATTTTGTTACAAGTTTTATTTTGAGAATAAACAATTGATTATTTGACAGACAATCTTCTGAAATCTACCATTTTTAAAATTATCCGTTAATAAGCTTGTCTTGTTTGAATTAGTTTAAGGACCTTAATTCTGGATGGATATAGACTTCTAACCGTTCTTGAATTTACATCATGTGTTAATTTTGTTTTGAAAAGTGCTTTGTGACTAAAGGATATTATGTAGGTTTTATAGATTAGGATTTTGGTATTTCCTCATAAACCTGGAATAATTTATCCACATTTAGGCTAAAACCGTTGATTAGAAAAAAACTATTAAAAATGTAAACTAGTGTCGACATGTCTGTTATTTAGGTTAATGTGTTATAGCGTCACACCTTATACACTCCGGTTACACCCATAGACTATATAAGAAGGTTACACCAATGTGGGATCAGAATTTTTGCATTATAAGTATAGGGCTGAATATTGATCAATTATTTTCAAACCAATTCAAAATTGTATAGCTTAATCTCTACTGGATTGTTACAACACTCATACGTTGAATTTTAAATGTAGACGCTGCGGATCCTTTCAACACTAGAGTCCGACTCCACACGGTGGAATTAGCAGGCAACACCGGAAGTTGCGTCGGTGGCGCGAATAATAACAAAGCTGATGTTTCAATTTTGCGAAGCTATTATCGTTAAATTATTATAAAATGTACAGACATTTACCCAACACGGTGGAGACCGTTTGTTTATGTTAATATGTAAAGTTATTTTATGTATTTTTAACATTATAACGTTACGCTTGGCATCAAAGAACAGGTAAGTTGATCAGTTCAAGGTAGTTAACATTATCGAGACTATTTAAAGTTAGCAATGTTAGCTAGTTGGCTAAGATTGTTTACATATAACGCGACGCTGTCAATCTATATCCAGTTTGGTGTTAAATATATGTTTTGTCATAACGTTATTCTCGGTTAGGCTAACGTTACTGCCAAGCCTAGCTAATGCCATCATAACAAACGTTAATGTCCTTTTTATCTGGTCCTTATTCAGTTCGCCATGTCTAAAGGAGACAGAGATGGCTTCATTGTGAAGTTTGTGGAAAATAAAGCACAAAAAACTGAGTATGCTGCCAAGGCTTACGAGGTAAAGTCCAGTATCAAATATTTTGCCACTGTGCTAATGTCTCTTCCTTTGTAATGGATGATGACCCTTTCTCTCATGTGTACACAGGCCATTTTGGAGCTGCAGTCTGACAAGTACTTAAAAACCATCGATGAAGATGCAGTTTTACAGATGGACCAGAAGGACAAGTCTCTGTTTGTCTTCAGCAGCTTCACCACACCGGCCTTTCTGCACTGCAAGAAGGTCTAACTCAATATTTGATACATCGAAACCTGGATTTCATGGTTAATTGGTGAATCCCTGTCACTTATTCACTTTCTCACTCTTTGTTATTTGACGTGTAGCTTGGCTGCCGAGTGGTAAGTCCACTGGTGGTGTTGTACTGCCTGCAGCAGCATCATTGCGTCCCCAAAGCAGAGAAGCCCGTCTATAACATGGCCATGGCTGACATCACTATTTCCTGCACCAGCTTGGATAAAGCTACACGGGTAAGTTCACTGCGTATGGTGCTTTTCAAGTTGTTGCTCCTTTAAATCGGCAGTCTAATAAGTGTAACACAGCGCCTTCTTAAGTGTTCTCTAATGTGTTTGTCTGTCTCTCTCTACAGGCAGATGTGATGGATCTGGTTCAACTCATGGGGGGACGGGTCTATCTTGATCTAAATGTATCGGTCACACACCTGATAGCCGGAGAGGTGGGCAGCAAGAAGTACCTGGTAGCGGCCAGCCTGGGTAAACCCGTCCTGCTGCCTTCATGGGCCAAAGCCTGCTGGGAGAAATCTCAAAACAGGTATGCACTGTCATTAAAACGGACATTTCTATGTAGAAAGATACACATGGATTTTTTTGTGATGTTTTCTTGGCCAAATAAACTGCACAGTTTATTAAAAACCTTCAGGATTTGAAAGTTTACCAGTCAATATTTCCAAAATTAGTGCTTCAAAGAAATTATACACATGTTATATGACATTGTAACCTTTAGATGATCATTAACACCTCGTTCTGCCTCCTTCAGCTTTTTCAGGTATACAGATCTCCCCATTGAGGACTATCTGTGCCCTGTGTTGCGTGGCTGCACTGTTTGTGTGACAGGCCTCTCCAGCACAGAGCGTAAGGAGGTGCAGCGGCTCTGTGATCAGCACGGAGCCAACTACACTGGTCAGCTCAAAATGAACGAGTGCACGCACCTCATCGTTAGTGAGCCAACAGGTACGTCACCAGCAGTTTCAGCAACAATGGGTTCCGTTATTGCTGCCAGTATTGTTTGTAAGTGTTCGTATTTGTTTGCAGGTCAGAAGTACGAGTGTGCAAGGAAGTGGAACGTGTACTGCGTGTCTCTGCACTGGCTGTTTGACAGCATAGAAAAGGGCTTTTGTCAAGACGAGAGCAGGTATACTGTGGAGCGTAATGCATTAAAGAGCACTCGACCGCACACTTCCACCCCCACTGGCACCAACAGGAAGGAGGGTGAGCCTCAGACAGATAGTTGTTTGTTGTGTACTGTATTTTTGTCAGTCTGTAACATATATTGAAGAATCCTTTTTTTTTTTTTTAACTCTAGAGGGTCCGTCTCTGTTGGGCTTGAGCCACATCTCTGTGAATGCTAGCATGACAATAAATGACACAGTTGTCACTAACGGCACCATCAGCCGCCTGGAAGCTCCCGACCCCATTGAGACTCTGGATCTCACCGTCTGCCCAGCTGATGATGTCTTTGATGGCTGTAAGGTAAACAAAATAATGCTCCTTTTCTTACAGAGTGGAGATTTCCATTTCCACTATTTCTTTTTTGTGATATTGGGAAAGACATAGATGAGGCTTTTCTTTCACCCTTTGTTAAACGTTGTGCAGCTGTACCTGTGTGGCCTGCCAGGGAAGAAGCTGGAGAAGCTGCGGCGTCTTGTGAACACTGCAGGTGGTCTGCGTTTAAACCAGCCCAGTGAGGAACTCACACATGTGGTCATGGGAGAGCTGGACCAGGACCTCAAGAGTTTTCTGTTCAAAGCAACACATAGGTCTGACCTGCAAAGAGTATTACTTTACATAATATGTATTGCATCCTCGCCCAAAGCAAGTTTTTAACACCTGTGCCTCACATTTATACTATCAAATACCTTAAAATATAATAAACTATAAGCTATATTGACTTAAGTCCTCTCTGAATCTAAGCTTAGGATACATCCTTACCTTATCCTACATCTTACATTTGTTTTGTAACTTATGTAGTCACAAAGTGAAATATACAGAATCCTGCTTTAAGAGGATGTTTACATGCTTTCTGTTAAATCATTGATTGTGATGTCATGTCTGTATGTTACTTCTCAGACCCCATGTAGTAACAGTGCAGTGGCTGCTGGACAGTTTCCACAAAGGTAGTCTGCTCCCAGAAGAGCGTTACCTCCACCCTGACTGTCTGCCTCCGGCCTCGGCTGCTGTCTCTGTGTCTGCCCGCCGCACTCTCTCCTCCCGGCATTCAGCCGGTCCCCCCGCAGCCAGTCCCAGCACTCCCAGGCAGACCAGAGCAGAGGAAGATCTGCTCTCTCAGTACATGGATGATGACCCTACAGTCGGTCGGTGTCTGTTAAAGAATTAGCTCAGTTTTATTGGAGACCATTAAGAGATTTAACAGGATAAAGTTTTATATATTAGTGTAATTTTTTTTTAATCCTCCAGTGGACATGCCTCCACCTGCAGAGGGCAACAGCAGGAAGTCCATCAGTACACCTGCTCAGTCTTGGGCACCAAACCTCACCAGAGGACCAGAGGCAGACTCCACCCTGCAGGAAGCCAGCGAGGCAGGCCTGTTTTTTGGGAAATGTTTCCTTCTTGTGGGCTTTGGTGCCGAGGCAGAGACCCAGCTCTCGCTACTGGTGACAGAAAATGCAGGCAGGGTGCTGATGGGCCGTACACGTGTTGTGGCAGACTATGCAGTGGTCCCACTGTTGGGCTGGTCAGTGGAGGCCACAGTGGACGAGGTGGTCACTGATACCTGGCTGGTGAGATCCTAGTCAGACTGCTTTAACTGTGTCGGGAGGAGGGTATTCTGTGATTTGAAATACACATTTGTTCTCCATCAGTTCTGTATGTTATGTTATTGCTTTGTAAGTTTAATACCTGACAGGTGTGCTTTGCTTTTGTTCATTTTCAGGCCATGTGTGTGGAGAAGGAGTGTGTTCTGCAGCTGTCCTCCAACCCTTTGTTCACACCCGTTCCTCTGATGGATGGACGTTTTCCTCTCAGAGATTGCGTCCTCTCTGTCAGCCAGTTCACGGGAGCAGAGAGGGAGTCTTTGATGGAGCTGGCCAAGAACCTCGGAGCCAAGTACGGTTACATTGCAGTCCGACCTCACATAATAATAATATGAATCCTAACATTCCCTACACTAATAACAATATTAGCAGTTGTAAGTATATTGTACTTGTACTCTCATAGCAGCGTGAACTACCTGTCTTAAATCTTGTCTTCTCTCCCTCCTGCAGTGTCCAGGATTACTTTGTGCGCCTGGCCAACCAGAAGAAAGGGATGCTGGCCAGCACTCATCTGGTGCTGCAGAGCCCCGAAGGCACAAAGTACCAAGCAGCAAAGAAATGGGGGCTTCCAGCCGTCACCATGCACTGGATTCTGGGGTCTGCTCGGACCGGCCAGAGGGCAGAGGAGGGGCGCTTTCTAGTTGACCTGCCAGCCTCACCAGGTTAGAAGAGTGTCTTCATTAAAGCCTTCATGTGGATCAATGTGGCTATAATCGTCGTTGTTGGGTGTGAATTCATTCATTCATTCATTCATTCATTGTTTCCTGTGCTTTAACAATGATTTTCTTTTCTTCTTCTACAGAGAGGGATGATGAGAGTTTTGTCGGTGGCTCCCAGAGGCCAGCCATGCCTCCACCGGCACGCTCGTCTCCAGAGATCCCTTTGCTGGGTCTCCAGAGCGGTAAGGCCGTCACTCCGCTGGATTTGGGTCGCCTCCGGAGCAAAGTGTTACGCTCTGTGTTGGATGAGAAGAAGCCCAAAGAGGACATCAGCACCCCCAAACAAAACCAGGAGGGCGGCAGAAGGAACCCCCCTCAGAACGAGGCCTCCCTGCAGCTGGACACTCCCTCCCGTTTCCTCAGCAGAGACCAGCTATTCAGGCCGTCTTTCAACTTTAAGGTTGGGACCCACTGAGTCCAAGCAATCGTTTGTGCACTGATATCTGATAGATCGTCCTGTAAATACATGGACTGTTCCTTTTGTTCAGGATGCTCGAGGAGCATTGGAGACTCCAGCGGGAAAATCCAAACCAGGAGAGATGGTGGAGACCCCTCTGACTGACGTCATCAACAGGAACCTGAAGGTGTCTATCGCCAATAGCTCCCGAAAGAGCTCCTCAGATATGCAAGCCATCACTGCCAGCCCCCAATTAACCAAGACGACTGAGAAGGAGGTAAACCGAAATACATAAATATACAGTATGTTTGTAAACTTAACATTGGTGGTTTAATCTTTGTTAAATACAGTGACGCTGATGAAATCTTCTCTCACTTACTACAGGATACCTCATGTATAGTACAAGGAAAAGTGGACATGTGATGGAGTAGACGATGTACTGTCTATATCACTTGATGTATAAACAAAAGTGTGATCTAATTTGTTTGTAAGGTCCCAGAAAAAGAAGCCGGCCCTCTGACTGGTGTTGTGATCTGTGTGGGAAAGAAGCTGAGCAAAATGCAGAGTGAACTCAACGCCATCGCTGCCTCGCTCGGAGCCGACTTCAGGTTCTCGACACATTCTTGCAAACTTCAATTTAAGGAATCGTTAACATTTTCTCGACGTGCTCATACGTACAGTTAAAGTGTTATTGGTTGCAGTCGTTGTTTTTCAGTAAATGTTGGATGCAGGTTGTACAAACATTCCTTTGTCAACGTGTCTTTAGGTGGGCTTGTGATGATACCGTGACACACTACCTCTACCAGGGCCGAGTGGGGGACAACACCCGGGAGTACAGAGGAGTGAAGGAGAGAGGGCTGCATGTGGTCTCCCAGTACTGGCTGCAGGCTGTACGTCTCCCAGCAGCAAACATAAACATAACCCAAGATCTTTACTTTACTACTCAACGTGTTTTTTTACTCGAAATGGGAGTTTCAGCTTATTTTTCACCGTCTTTGTTTCATTAAATTAATTGTTGTGTCTAACAAGCTTCTGTTTTTCGGATATGTGCTGTGTCGTCTTGATCAGTGTGCTGAGGAACAAAAGCACGTCCCCGAGTCTCTGTACCCTTTCACCTACAACCCCAAGATGAGCCTGACCCTCAGCCAGGTGCCCAGCAGCTCTCAGAGGTCTCCACCGTTTACACGAACCCAACTCAAAGAGATCACAGAGGCAAAGGACGAGAAGGTGGGGCTCCATAATGATGTAAATGCACCTCCAAGGTTCACTGGATACAATATGTTCTTAGTAACATCTAATAGAGAAGTACGTCATTAATGCTGGAGTGTCTCATGTAATTGTCTTTCTGTGTGCCTGTTTTAATTATCTGTCCTTCAGTGTGGACACATTGCCACAGAAGAACCCTCAACGTTGCGCCGTGTCAGCGATGGCAGCGTAGATAAAGAAGACACGAATGATGCCGCAGAGAGAAGCGGTGGGTGTTCCTTTTTCCAACTTTCATTTATTCCCACAAAGCTTCTGCCTGTTTGAAGAACATGCTGATTCGTGTGGTTGATTATCATCTTGTGTCCAGATGTCTCAGAGACTCTGGAAATGAGAGAGAACCTGCAAAGACAGCTCCAGGAGATCATGTCGGCCACCAAGCTGACGACAGGGAGGCGTACCTCGGTCAGACTCAGCAGGATGGGATCGGGAGGGGGCGACTCGGACCCCCACACACCTGATGGGAGCCGTTTCGGACGCTGCGGGAGCAGACGTACTCTGGAAGCTCTGAGGTAAGGAAGATAGTTTATGTTCAAACTTAAAAGCCTCTCAAAGCAAATTGGTATAATTTTAGGACTATTGTTGTGCTATAAAACCTATACAGTGTGTGGATTTGATTGTATTTTAAATGAAAAGGGTCAAATGATTCCGCCCTGCTATAGTAGGTCCTGGATACCAAGTTCACACACTTCCTCATCCAAATACACTCACCTCATTCCATCCTGATTTCAGGGTTACCAGAGAAGCAGCTCTGGACATCAACACAGAGCCGTCTCAGAGTGAACAGATAGTTTGGGACGACCCTACAGCCAGGGAGGAGCGGGCCAAGCTGGCTGATAACTTACAGTGGCCCGGAAGTCCGTCGCAATACTCTGAGCCTCTCGCACCTCCACCTCCTCCCACCGCAGAGAACGGCCCTCAGTTGAGGGACACCATGACGGACTCTGAGCTGGTGGAGATGGGTAATGATCAGAGAGATTCATATTCATGTGTAACGTTTACAGATAGCTGGTAACCAATCCTGTAGAGGAGTCTCAAGTTAGTCAGAAAAAGAATAATTTCACCATAAACATACACAATGGAACGACATGGCTTCTGACATACTGTACGTCATCACTGTGTCCTCTCACAGCTGCTTGTGACGTCATCGAGCAGCACATGGGCCAGAGAGTCACCGCGGCTCCAACAGAGCAGCCCGAGAATGACATCCTCACTCCCAAAGCGCCCAGCATCGCCTTCCCTCTGGCCAACCCCCCGGTTGCACCGGAGCCGCAGGTGAAGAGTCCTGTTTACATTAACGACAAGAAGTCGATGCATTAATATAACTTTATTAATGTATCTTTAAAGCAAGCTGATGGTGCTAAAAAGGTTCTTTCTTCCTCTCAGGAGGAGCGTGAGGAAGAGAAGCAGCCGCCCAGATTTCAGCTGTCCTCCCTCAGCCCACAAGAACGCATTGATTACAGTCACCTCATAGAGGAGCTTGGTGAGTCTTCCACCTAATTAGGGCTCTACCAGTGTTTCATCATGCTGCAGAAACGCAGCACAGGCCTGGAGTCAGAGGAGCTCATCCCGGCTGACTAGAAAGGAGGAACTGCCTCTCGGGTCTGGGAATATTTTCTCCTGCAGATGTTTCCTGTTGTGAGCTTAGAATACTCAAGCTGTTCTAAAACACTGTTCAATCTTTCATATCAGGTCTGTAACTATAACTTTTTGGCGTTTTAGGCGGTGTAGTCCTGGACAAGCAGTCGTTCGACCCCAGCTGCTCCCACATCATCGTAGGGACTCCTCTGCGTAACGAGAAGTACCTGGCAGCCATGGCGGCGGGCAAATGGATCCTGCACCGCTCGTACCTGGAGGCCTGCCGCTCTGTGGATCGCTTCATCCAGGTTAGGATCTATGCTTTAGTGCCTCCAGCAGACGTCTATTAACACTCATATTTGCAGTGGTCTTATTCATCCTTACCTGTGTGTGTGTGTGTGTGTGTTCCAGGAGGACGAGTACGAGTGGGGCAGTAGCTCCATCCTGGATGCGCTGCCCTCCATCACCTCCCAGCAGAGGAGGCTGGCGTTATCGGCCATGCGCTGGAGACAAACCCTGCAGGGACGCTCGGAGCAAGAGGTACCTGCAGTCCTCATCACTGTCCTTATATTGTATTATGTACTAGTGTTAAAGTATTCTATGCATTATTAAACGTGTATATATATGTTTTTCAGGGAGCCTTCAGTGGATGGACGGTCATGCTGAACATCGACCAGAACAGAGAGTCGGGCTTCAGGCGGTTACTGCAGTCTGGCAGAGCCAAGGTTGTTTATTAGTTGTGTTCAGTCCAGCATCGTCTACTCATCACTATTGCTGTTTCCAGATCAGGAAAACAGCAAACTGTTTATCAGGAAGAGTTGGTAGTACTTTATTTAATGCATTATCAACATACTTATAATGTGTTATAATCTGCTTATAGCACTGTCTAATGATCTATTTATACATATTCATAAGGAGCATCTCTCCTTATATGGTCACTGGTTTCCCCCCGAGGGGGGGGGGTTTAGCCTCGCTGGTGAGCCACCCAGATGTTGACACATGTCGCCTCGTGATCCGTTTAGTTGGGAGATGACTCCGAAAACAACAGTCACGATCATTAAAGATGACATTTGCTGGTCTTTGTTTCAGACGAGGTGACTCATCGCCACTATGAAACGCTGAAAGAGCTTTAATTCACAGTTTCCACCATAGAGCGCAATCACTAAAGAGCAAAGCGCTGAAAAAAGGCAAATGATTTAATCAGATGTCATGACATATCACAACAAGGTAGGGAAGCTACATCCCCCCTACCTCCCCAATTCTGCTCTATATTTTCCCAGAGAAGGTGACATGTATTTTTCTGTAAACGTAGTGAAGCCATAGTTTTCACCTTTTTAATTTCTCTCTCCCTGCAGGTGCTGCCGAGTCCCTCCCCGTCCTTGTACAAGGAGGCCTCTCACCTGTTTGCAGACTTCAGCCGGCTGAAGCCCGGAGACTTCAGAGTGGACGTGTCGGAGGCCACCGCCCACGGAGTCCAGTGCCTGAAGCCGGAGTACATCGCAGACTACCTCATGCAGGTGAGAGAAGCTTTTCAAATGAATTACCACCGGATTGGCTTATTGCGAATAACAAAACCTGAGATCATTCGTTGTAATGTTGATGTAAACGTAACAAGATGCATCCTGACAGTGTAATGTTTTATTCATATACTATGCTGACTATAATAGACATGTCTTATGATCTTTAAATGTGTTTATATAGCAATAAGTGCTATCACTTCATTAGTGTTGAGTTAGACTCCGTAGATTAAATGTTAAAGCTGAGCTTTATTGCACTGACACAGGAGCCCACCCCGCCTATCGAGCTGTACCACCTGACCGAAGCTGCCTCTGAAGAAGCTCCAGGCACTCCGTCACGTAAGCGCAAAGCAGCCGCAGACAACTCCAGGCTGAAGAAGACGCGTCTGAACTGAAATGTAGCCCCTAAATATTGTCTTTGAAATTATTGTAAATAACACTTTGTATCTCTTATGCCTGAAATAAAATGACTGTACCATTTGTGTTGGAATCCTAAATCCAGTGCGTTGCAGTCGGTGCAGTGAAGTGTGAGAGTGTAGCCATGATGGATGACTTAATGAAGGTCTGACAGAAAGTGTCGAGTCACGTTCTGTAATTGGGTGCAATAATACTGTGTGGCCTGTAGAGGGCAGTACATCGTCACTGTCTGACTCAGGACTGTGTTACAAGTGATTCCTCAGCAACACAATGAAAAATGATTAGCCGTTAATAACTTTATTTATTTTCCTGTTGACTGATACTTACGTTATAATTGTGTGGTGTTTCCCCGCAACAAGAAGTCAAACCAGTCGGCCGTACTCTTCCTCACCCATGTGATCATGGCCCACTTGTATCTGCTGTTGATCTCCCCATGCAGAAAAACAGATTTTGTTTACCCGTTGTTGATTTCGGCCTTTGGACGAGCAATGTGCTGTTTCATACCAGGGTGCCAGCCGAAGTTAGATGCCCCTGTTGCCTCCCATATGGTCGGATAAGTGGTTTAACCTCATAATAGATCGACCAGCTGACGGCCTCCGCACAGAATCAGCGCTGAGCTGCTGTTTAAGAGGTGTGGGATTAGAGGAGAAAGAGCTGCTCTGACAGAGGAGCATGACTCAGGCTGCTGAGTCTAAAAGCCTCTCGCGGCCTCCAACGAAGGAAGGAGTAGCTTGAACAAAAATCCACTCCTTACCACCAACACTACTCTCTGTTATTCATATATAACAGTGGTTCCCCACCTTTTTGACGAATGGTCCATTTAGAACGAAGCTATTGTGACACCTGGTCACACGTTGCATATGGTAATAAGTTGTGAGCTGTTCCACCTGTGGTTTTCAAATATTTACGTTTAAGGCCTGAAACTATCCAATGTTTCACGAGAAACAAAATCCCTTTCCTACTCTGTTAATCTTCTTGCGACCCCTTAAATATATCATGTGACCCCCTCAATGGGTCCTGTATCTGTAGCACTCTACACTTAACTGACCAAAAACTCTTATGAAATGGTCTAATGTGAATCTATTTTAGTATAACTCCAACTAAAATGTTTTTAAAAACAACTAATATAGTCGTCAGATTAAAACTCTCCGGGTAAAGGAGCCTGCAGGGCATATATTATCTGCAAAATGATGTATTATATACTTTAATTAACACTAATGTAAGGAATAAACTGTAGCCATCCTATTTGTTTCTAATATATGACTTGGAGGCTATGGGGAGCATGAATATGCCCTGCAATGGTCCCAACGTCTTCTATCTTCAACCTTGTTTATTCCAAGAGTTTTTAGTATTGTTATTGATTTTTTTGTTATAAATTCTGGAGCAAATAGTGTACTCATTTAATCTAAAATGAAATAAATAAATGAATAAAAAACAAGCTGTAGGAAATAATTGTATTTAGATAAAGACTTAAAGGATTGCCAATTAATCAATTAAGCATTTCACGTTAATATCAGCTGCTCTGAAAGCTTGTCCGTCAAACGTCCTGCAGCTTTAATGTTTCTGCAGCAGTGCACCATGAGAGACGAGCAGTGAAGCTTTGTAGAGATGAAGTAGCACAGGTTTCATTGCACAGTTGGTCTTTAGTTGATCTGAGTCAGTGCATCGGAACTTGTTTTCAGTCAACAGGTGTCCACCGGCTAATCTCCCACTTTGCTGACTGGCCGGTGGCCAACAGTTGAGTTTCAGTTCGCCACTCCGCTCCCTCCTCTCCCGACAGGTAACTTTAAGGTCTTCTTTTTGTCGGGACAGTTTGGATTTCAGCCCGGGGAGAGCACGACTCCTCCGATTAGGGGAGGGGGAACTCTGCAGCGGCCCTCATTAAAATTCCCTGTCCGTACACTCACCACGAAAACCTCCTTTAGTGGGTGGCACCGGCGTCCTGCGCGCCTCTTTAATTGCGCACCACGCATTTACGAAGCGATCGCGGATCACAGTTTTCATCATCATCATCAGCGGCGGCCGCAAAAGGCGGAGAGTTTGCTTACTGCGTCCCCGTCAAGGCTGAGTGAGGAGAAGGTGGGCGCAGAGGTCCGGCAGTAGGGTGGCGCCCCGACGCATCTCTCATCCAGCGGCTGGACACGCTGTGCGGCGACACGGTCCGCTCCCGCAGAGGGTGCTTCACTTGGCTTCTTATTGCAGCTCCTGATTGTGACGTTTCCCGGTGGGGACTGGCAACATGTGCGCCTGGATGCTGTGAAGAGTGACACGGCGGCTTTTGGGGTTTCATTTCTCTCGGATACGCCAAGTACCCGACGTAACGGCGCACCTTGTGTATAGTGGGTGAGTACATCAGTTTATGTGTCTATACTTCGGATCAGACAGCTCGCCCTCTGCTGTGTAACCTGTACTGTGTTTTATTGGCTGTTCTTACAATAGCCTGCCTTTTTGCGTATTGATCACGTTGATGATCCGATTTGTTGCAATCCTGGTGGAAGGTTCCCCGTGACAGTCACAGACCCGAGCATCAAATCACTGTCAGCGCTGCATCCAACTATGATTGTAACAGTATGGTGTCCTGTTAGTGCAGAGCATCGTTTAATGCATCGCATAATGTAGAAGTTCAGCTGCTGATGGTCAGTTCTTTGGAAGATTCCTGTAAAATCCTAATTTCACTGGAAAGAAAGGAGTAAACACATTGTTTGTTTGGTGGATTCATGTTTTACTCTCTCTTGGCAATCCTAAAAATAAAAAGAGCATCATGGTCAATTAAGGAAATGTGCTCTAAAGTGTATTTGGGTGGCACTACATTCTTGGAAAGATTAATGGTAAAGATTCCTTGCAGTGGCTGGCTGTATAATCCCAGTTTATAACAGTGGTTGGCTTGTTTACTTCCAATAACAAGGAGTTAAAAGTTTTTTTTTAGACCAATCAATCCTGCAACTTGAGGATCTCTGCCCTAAGTGCCCTTCAAGTGGTTTATTTCTCAGGCAACATGGCAGCAACAAAGCAGATAATAGGAGGAACTCTCTTAAAATGTAAGACCACCGTGAACAAACCGGCATCACCAAATAACCCGTTTGAGTGTGGAGCTTCAGCTTTGTTTTCAAGCACAAGGGGATCGTATGGACTGTAAAGTAAAGTGTATACTAATTGAACCTGCCGGCCACTCTCCATTGTGCCAGGAATGTTTGGTTGCCTGTTCTCCACAGAAACCCCCCATTCCTTTGTTCTGGGGGGACAATCCTTCAGTGCCATGTGTGTGCAGTGGTAGGGGGAGGGAGAGGGGTCAGCGGGGGTATTGACATCTGTAGCTGACAGCTTCCTCGGGGCGAGCTGACATACTGTGATACCATGAATGGGTATTAGGGAACATATGTGCAAAGAGGTTAACAGTAATGAGGACATTCATGTCTTGTGCATCTGGAGAGGTATCGCATGTGTTGAATGTAACTAGATACATAAAGATGATTTGTGTTATAGATTGCAGTTGATCAGTTGAAATGCTCGATGAAAAATGTGTGTTAGTCCCAAATCCTTTTGTTTTTCAGCAACCTTTCACTGATTGAATTGGTTTGACATTGTCCGAAGTTAACGGTCCAGTATGCTGGATTTGACGACATCTAGTGGTGAGGTTGCAGATTGCAACCAACTGAAACTTCTTCAGTGTGCCAGAGCATATGGGAGAACTACGGTGGCCGACTCGAAAATGCGAATGCTACTATCTAGAGCTAGTGTTTGGTTTGACTGTCGAAACATGCATGGCGGGAAACATACTGCTCCGTATGTAGATATAAACTGCTTATTGTAAGCTAACAGAAATACAGCGATTCTTATTTTCAGGTGATTATATATCAATTAAAACATACTTATGAATACTTTCCATTTTTCTCAATAGATCCCCAATATATGCTACACACTGGCCCTTTACATTTATTTACACTAAATAGTCTCAAAACTAGTGCAGCAAATAGTCAATCAGTTGGCTGCTGAGAATGTCATTATCACCAAAGTTGTGAGAATCCATCCTCTGGGGAACACAAATGTCTTTACTAGAATACATGGAAACCTATTCATTATGTATCAATGTGCACATAAAACTACAAACGTGAACCTCAAGTCAGGAGTATGCACAATTTAAATGTTCATCCTCTTGGGACCGTGAACATCTGTACAATTTCATGCAAATCCATTCATTATTTGTTGAGCTAGCATTAAACTCCAACGGTTCTCTGGATTCAGTTTCTCAATTGTGAGGATTTTTGTTGTATTCATTTTAAATTGAATATTTTCAGGTTTATGTATGTTGATGAAGGAAACAAGGAGTTTGAAAATGCCAACTTGGGCTCTGGGAATACGTGGTGGATATTTTTCAATATTTCCTTATATTTTATATAAGCAATTAATAAAGAGGAAATTTAGAGGATTTTGGCATTAGGTTATCGCCAACAAATCCTGCCACTTCCTTCTGATGTTGTCCTGTATGATGGAGGCCAAAGTGTGTGTCAGTCATTTCAACACCTTCCTATTTGGTGTGATTCTGTCAACATGAGGAAGAATGTTTTAGAAGGCAATGGCTGAACAATCTCCACAGCTGCACTCTTATCGGCAATGTCAGGAAAAGTCTACGTTGACACTGAAAACGTCCGGAAATGATCAGCTTTCGCATCCAGAGCAACAGACCTCTCTTAAACAAACGTATCGGGGAAGTTCCAGGAAAAGGGAAAGTCTGGTTTCTGACTCTTGCAACAGAAAGTCCGAGCTGATGGGAAACTGTTGGGGAATGTGACTGTGGCAGTGTTTCATGGGTTTCATGCCTTTAAGTAAGCATCACTGGTGACTGGTAGAGAGTGGTACACCATGAGGTGGAATGCAGGCCCCCCATGGGCCCCTCATGCTGCACAGTATGTGCGAGGGACTTTGCACCTTCGTCCGGCCTGACAAAACAGGATTTCACCGAAGCAATGGGAGGAAAAAGCCAGCCTGTGCCTGCGCCGTTTCTTTTCCTGTGTTTTGTAAATGCCACGCAGCATTAACGAAGGCCCTCAGCTGGTTTCAAAAGGCCTTTAAGCTGAGAAGGGGGGGGGGGGGGGGGGGCATGTATACAGGAACCACGGGGGGGAGGCGCCACTCTGAAAAGCAAGCGAAAAAGCAAGAAGAAAAATGCATTTCCCCCTTAGCCTCTTATGATGCTATCAGCTAAATAGCGTTCCCATAGGACCAGGCGGCTATAGACGTGCTTCAAAAAGAAACCTCTCTCTTTCAAAGTGTTAACTTTTGAAAGCCTTCATACTGTATAGAGTGGTATCAGAGCAGGCTCTGTTGGACCATTGGGGCTATCAACCCCTCTTGCCCCAACCAAGCATAGGTGGAGCAGATAGATGGTAGGATAACGAACCATTATGATGATGAAAGGGGGCGACGGGCACGGGGGGAGATAAGAGTGTGGCGACCGTCGGAGCATGAGGTGTTTACAAGGGGAATTCCTCACATTCCTCAGCTTCAGCCATGCCACTCCAATCTGCACCTCCACCCACTCATGGTCACCCTCTGTGCCGAGAGGGACCCGAGGGGCGAAAGGGCCCAAATAGGTCCCTCCTCAGGAAGTAGCCCCTGATAATGTGTTATGTTAGGCGAGTTTTGAGTGAGTGTTGCTTTAGAGATTTGGGGCAGTAGAACCCCAGAGAGTTAAAGTTCACACACACAGAGGCTTGTTTATAGCTTTGAGTGGGAAAAAGGGATTTTCAGTTCAAACTTAAGCAAAAATGATGGAGCTTTTAGCATACGTTTCATTTTCAGTTGTTGTCGTTATCCAGAATAATGTCACAGGTAAACCAGGTGAAGTGATAAGATGAACATTACTTGATAGCTGTGTGGGAAATATCTCAACATTCTCTAGATTTATTGGCAGGAATGTAGCTGCAAACATTCATGATTTCCAGATGATGTGTCCTAAAGACTTTGGCATTCCTCTGACTTATCCTATTGTGCCACCATGAGCTTCACATTTGTGGTTTTAAGCCACCACCAGCAGGTCAAATGTTTAATTTGTCCAATACTTTGGTTTATAACCAAATACCTGCAAATTCCCATTGGTCCACCAGTAGTAAATCATAGCATGCTAACAAACTAAACTAAGATGTTGAGCATGATATCAGCATGTTAGCATTGTCGCAGTGAGGGTGTTAGCATAAGTGCAGCCTCACAGAGCCGCTAGCATGGCTGTAGACTATAGACATTTATGATAAAGGTTTGTTCAGAAATATTAAAATCAGAAATATTTAACCTGCTTGTGTGAAACTACAGGATGATCCCTCAGTGCTGCAGCATCATTCTCACACAAATTAAGTCTGTAACTCAATGAGGAAAGGCAAAAAAATCAAGATAAGTAGTCTATTGGTAGTACTGTTTTATAATCAGGCAATAAATGAAATATTTTTGATATATTTAAAGGGATTTTTTAATATTAAATGCTCTGAATTGCAAGTGCTAAAGAAATCTCCAGTGCCTTCCTGTATAAGGCAGTCATGAGGCTGGATTTAGACTTTATCCCTTCAGTCTATGAAACCATTTTCAGTTGTTTTTTTTCACAGACAAGACCTTTAAGCTTAACAGTCACTAATCAAACAACTCTTTCCTTTCTCTCGTCTGTTTTAGGGAGTGTTTGTGTAGTTAACATCAGAGAGCCCCTTTTATCCATCAGTCTAAAAATGATAACATGTGCGTCATATTCTGTGGTATGAGGCACGTTTAATACCCACATGTGAAAAGTGAAACACAGGAACTCCTCTGTAGGCGCCCTCGGGACACATAGGGTTTGTGTTTTAGGATCAATCATCACATTTTTTTTTTAATGCAACTCAGATGACCGGCTCTAATAGGATTATGGGAAGGCCTTGTGGGAGGGGTGACACGTTACCCCCTGCAAACCCAGCCTGGGGGTCATGTGATGGAGGGGGACAACACTAGCAGGTGTCAGCCCGATGATTACGGGGTCTGAGGTTGGGCTCACCTATGAGGATTACTCAGAGGCTCTAATGGAAGGCGGGTTGTGACCCCGGCTAGCAAGGAAGCAAATCACCATCCTCTCACCGAGAGAAAACCTCTCTGGTTTCCTTGGCAACTTCTTCAATCTGGATATTTATTCTTTCAGCGCTGAACTTCTCGCAACACCAAAAATCATTTCATTTGTAATTTGTGAATACTTGTCAATCCTACTTTTTGGTTACAGCAAATTGTATTCACAGTCCTTTGTATACATCCAGACTCCAGGCTTTTGAGCGTGCAGTCAGTTGAAATCAAACCTCGTCTTCTGTCCAGACTCATCTGATAGAGGCTGCAGATTAAAGTGCCACCATATGCTGGGGACTGAGGAGACCCCTCCCAATGGTAGAGCTTATTATTGCGCTCTATATCACTGTCAGCAGCTAATTGTTGTGGAGGATTGAGGTGGGCGGGCGGGCGGGCGGGGGGGGGGGGGGGCAACTCCCCTATCTTGTCTTAAATGCTTGGTCATTGCTACTTTACCCTGCCACCTAAATCAAAGCATTTCCTTTTAGAAGTTTTATTTTTTGCTTCGGGTCTTGCTCTCTATCTCTCTCTCTATCTATCTCTCTCTCTCTCTCTCTCTCTCTCTCTCTCTCTCTCTCTCTCTCTCACACACACATAACATTGACTTTAAAAGGAACATGAAATGAAGCTTACTAGATTATGGGTCAATAAATGTGGTCAACACATGTCTCTCACTCATTTCCTCTCGGTTCCGTTGTTGTAACCTACGAGGTAACCCCGGCCTAGCGAGGACGCTCAGTGGAAACGTAGCAAAACAGATGCGTTTTAAAACGGAAATGTACTAGTGTGGACATGGCCTCCTTTTCACGCTGTTCGAGTCCAAGTTGAGGCAGTCTGAATGCCAGGAAAGGAAATCTGGAGCTTTTGAGAATAAACCATTGTTTTCTCTGTGTGCCTTGCCGAAAGCCGCATATGGCTCATTTCATGGCTGTTGGAGAGCCTGATTGACGGTCTGAAGAGCAGCGAGGCTGATGTGACTCATGTGCAGTGCTTGGCAATGCAAAAGGCAAGTCCTCGTCCAGGTCACACGAGGTAGAATTAAATGGAAGAGGAGATGGAAGAAGAAAGATTAGATATAGAGTGCCCAGCTGCTCTTTTAAAGGTTGTTTACCTAGAAACCCTTAGAATACATGCTGCTAGCGTGTAAGCCAGAATGGTGACACAGTATGTAGCTGATGTCTTCCTATCTGGTATCTGGTGTCATGGGAGCTGACATTTCATTGTAATCATTGCAATAACCACCTCTGGGAGAACTCCTCAAATATGAAACTATCGACACTTGTCACCCCCAATTAGGGAGCAGTTTATGTGGTTTTGCTCCCATTCTCCTCCTCCTTCTCCTTGTCTCGTGTGCGGTCTAAGAGATCCGTGGCCCCAGGGGGCCTGAAAGCTGTCTAGTAATCTGAGACAGCATTAATACTGAATAAGATGGAGAGAGGCGTCGGCGCCGCAAATTAATTTCCACACACAGAGCGGGGTTTTCAATTTGAAAGAATAATAATAATTGCGTCACAGTGGGATTCTAGTAAGTGTGTTTGTGTGAATGTGTTTGTGGTGCTGGTAGAGGTGGCAGGGATTGTGGTTTGTGGCAGCTACATCACCATGGAGACAGTGCCACTATATCGTGTCGGGAGGACTTTGATGCTGGAGTGAGGACAGCGTTGGCAGCAGAAAGGAGCAACATGGCAACAACAAAGTCTGAGTGGACAGCCACTGGGCAGACGTCTGGCTTTAAGGGAACCTGGAAATATCTCCTCACCTCTCCTTCACTGTCTGTCACTGCTAACTTTCACAGTTGTGCTTTCACGTGGTTCTGCCCCTGATCCACTGAACCACCATTTCACAGTCCATGTTCACAGCCAGATTATTGAGAATGCCACTGCTGTGAAGGACAGGCGGCACAAGCCAATTCAAACTGCTGCTGGACTGACTCCCCCCCCCCCTCCTCCTCATCACTCCCTGAAGAGGAGAGTGTCCTTTGGGCGAGAAGAGATGACTTGATGTTTTGGGTTTATCAGAAGCTGCAAATAATTTGGACAACGCTGGTCGCTGCGCAGGCTGTTTGTGCTGTAAAAAGACTGCAGCTCGCTGTGGTGTACGACATGTCGAACATGCTGTACTAACTGCAGTGATTTTTCTCTCCCTCTCAACACTGTAATAATGATAGTTTATGTATCTGACGCTGTTGGATTTATTCCACATCGCACACAGTCGGCTTAAAGGACCAATACCAGCAGTGTGTTTACAAATGTTACCACGTAATCCTTGAAGTAATAGTTTGGCATTTTGGGATTACACTTGGATGATCAATACCAATCTCATGATTTTGTTGATCATTGAGCTAGCACAGGGAGGATGTTAACTTAGCTTAGCATAAAGCCTGGAAGCAGGGGGAAACCGCTAGCCTAAATTACAAAAAATAAAACATTGCACGACTTGGCAGAGAAAGAGTTACAGCAATCCAACATTGTAACACATATAGTTGCATTGTTTGCAAAATGAGTGGCTGTGATGTGTAGTAAATAACAAGATACAACATGCAAAACCACTGGAATGATCCGTTAAATTGTGATGCAGTACAGAAGTCATCTTTTGCAGAAACTGTCACCACAGCAACTCTTAAAATAATGTCCGTGAGGTTTGTTCCGCTGCTCTGCTTTCCCCTGGGCATTCGCTCCATTCTCCACTCTTCCACTAATATATTAGAAATCCTGCTGCTCATCCCCGATGTACTGTCCCATGCCCGACATCACACAGACGAGAGAGGCAGCAGAGTGATGGAGGGAGCGACACCTGCAAAATTCTCTTCAGGCCGGCTCCGTTCCCCCGCGGGGCCAAACATTTGACATTTAACTACCTTTAACTAACATTTAACTAACTACATAAACAGGCCACTGGAAGACCATCGACATTCATTTTGTCTGGCACCGTTTTGTCTCTTTCCAGCTCTGCTCTGTGGTGGTTTGCTGCTTTTCTCTGTTGTATTAATCGTTGAATTAATATATTTAGGTTTTAGACTGTTATGCTACACATAACAAACTATTTGAAGACATCTTCTACTAGTTTTTCTTTTAATTTGTCACCCGTCTGTTAATCTGTCTGATACCAAAAACTCCGTGAAGTTTCCTAATGAAATAGAGGTATAATCTTCTTCATGTTGTTCATTATTTTACCCGTTGGATGTCAGAACAAAAGGGCGTGGATCATATGTGGTTTATCACCTAATAATAGACTTTGTGAAGCCTACCAAACAAATCACCCGCAAGCTCTCGGCTCCATCTCCGCCCCACCACAGCATTGAACCACCACTTCATCCATAATATTAAACACTGCCGACTGTGTGCGTGTGTGTGTGTGTGTGTGTGTGTGTGTGTGTGTGTGTGTGTGTGTGTGTGTGTGGTGTCACCAATCTCATCCGAACCCTGCTGAGTCCGGCTTGTTTACCTATTCATAATTCAGCCATGAGTGATGGCACACACAAACCAAAGCTCTCCATCCTGTGGTAATTAAACGTCTGTTGGTGAGACATTTTTCTATTGGAAAGCATTTTAAAAAATACACACACATACACACACACACACACACATACTCTGAGAAGCTGCTGGTGGGCGTCCGGGCTAGCGCTGGTAATTAGCGTGCTGAGTGGTTGCACTGATTGCTTCATTATTTCTCCGATAGGCATCTGTGAGAGGTATTTGATGGATGTTGCATGTTTGAAAGTCCGCACTAAAGCTCCTTATGTGAACATCACTTGTCAAACTTTAAGTCTACCTAGCAACACTGTTATTTACCACACACAGGTTTTGAAGTCACACCCTCGTCTACCCTGAGCCTCTTGCATCAGACTTGCTCAATACGACACCAAAGCTCAATGCAATTAACTGCCATCGTGCAGTTACTCCACATAAACACATGAACGCTCTCATACTTTGGTTGTATGCTGCTGTTAGGAGTTGTTTCTAAATGTAGCTACATCACAGGACTTCAAAACGGATTCAGTATAATTTGTTTGTTTTGCTCACAGCGGTTCAGCGCGACGCTGTGAGCAGGAGAGCAATTATCAACTGCATGTCCCAGTTTCACAGACGAGGATTATTTTTGTATGCGACCAAGATATCGACGGCTGTTTTCTCACTAAAGGTTTCAGTCATTCAGTCATAATCATTGTCTTTGGAACTGGGACTGTTTCCAAGATGCTTGTGGAGGGCTTTCTAAGCTCCAAGAGAAAAAGCAAACGTGCAGCTCAGTGCTTTGATTTCAGTGCCGAAACAATTGATTTATTGTGTGTAAGAAAATGAAAACACAACAATTCGATTTTCATCGTGGCTTGTACTTATAACAAGCTAACTTAGCTTAACTGAGATGGTAAACATGGTAAACATTATACGTTGGCATCATGTTAGCATTAAGCTCAAAGCACCGTTGTACCTAACTCCAGCCACAAATAGCCGCTGCCACATTTAGCCCATGGCTGTTAGTCTTATTTCAAAGTAATACGTAAGGCTTTTAGTATTTCCAGCTCCTCAAATGTGAACATTTGCTGATTTCATTCCTCCGTAAAGTACGTCTCTTTGGATTTTGGACAAAACAAGTATTAGCATGATGCCACTTTTGTGAAAATACTAGATAGATTAATTAAAACTGTAAGTAATCATTAGTTGCAGCCATATTTAAATCACTTTGTCAATATGTAGACAAAGGCCAAGAAGAAGTATGCGAGTTTGTCAATCAGGTTTTAAAATGTTAAATTCATTTAATTTGTGTGCTTTCAGAGATATTTCTTTTACTTCAAAGTCCTTGCACCTCAGAAAATCTCATAAACAACAAAACATGTTGTCACTTAATTGCTAATAAATTATTTTTTGGTTCCTCCAGAGATACTTCATCACAGATCGCTTTGCTTCTTTGTCATTCCACTCAATTGGTTTGCGAAATTGTACAAATTCGTCATGATTTGCTGCTTTTCTGATAACAATACTTGCACCACAGGGTTGCTGTTTGCACTGTGATATTAACCCAAGTGATTCTCCTCTGTTACCTCCTCCACTGTTACTGGACTCCCGCTGGACTGGCCTCAGTAGGGTCTCACTTTAAAATGTCAACGCTGTCAGGTCCCCACGCCGTCATATCTGCTGTCATCTCCAGGTAACCATTACAGTCATTACAGCTGCGGCTGCCACCGCTCCCTTTCCATCGAGTTTTACACTTCCAGCCCCAAATCAAATACCACTTCTCAAATCATTGCTCCCTCCTGTGGTGGCTTAAGAAGAAAGGTCACCCCTGTCCGGATGGAAGACCCCCAGGCTCCATCACTCTGAAACTGAGTCACCTCTGGAGTCTACCGGCATTTCATGCATTGTTATGTGTGTGTGTGTGTGTGTGTGTTGCATCACATGCAATTTAGTCCTGGTGTAATTGGCTTATTAGGCATTTAGTCTGTTTGGAGAATTGAGCAACTGGGCCACTCATCCATGAGTAAATTCTCCACTTTCAGGCCAATTGTCCTTGTCATGTTTTTGCTGGGTTCATCTGCCTTCATCCGTCAGCCTGAATCACATGGAGTAATGGATGCGATGTGCGTGTGTCCGCACACAGCGAGCCAGACACACTCTCCGGACTAGCGGCTCTTGGAGTTAATCCGTCTCACTAATAGTGGGGGGTGGAGCAGAGAGAGGGAGAAGGAGGAGGAGAGAGGAGAACAATACAACGTCTCTCCCTCCATCTCCGGACACGTGGTCATCGCCCGGCGGGAAATCTCTGGACCTTGGATGTTCTCTACGGATGTTGCTCCTCTCATTCACTCGTACCAGCTGACTCTCCAGCGGTCTCTGCTGCGCCGCTCAAGGAAACGAGGTACAATAACCGCCCTCCCCTCCAAAAAACATCCTTCTCCAGGGCTTTTCGTTCCTGCCATTGTCACCAGACATGAGGCTGCGTCAAGGGGTAAAATTAGGAATGTGTGTTGAGTGAGGAACTTCCTGGACTTTCTGAGGTGTGTGTTTAACTGTTTCTGCAGAACGTATGTTTGCAGATTGTGAAGTGAGACAGAAAGTGTGGAGGGACAGTGGAAACAATATGTATTTTCCCTCCTTTAGCTTTGCAAACTCTTGTGTACAGCACTGGATTCCTGCGTCTGCCTCATGGACATTTCTGAATGCACCAAAGGGCCTTTTTCCCTGTCCTGCTCCGGACATACGTAGCTCCTGTGTGGTTCATACTCTTATAACAGTAAGATCATCAGATCGTATGTTTACAGGAAAGAGTAAATTCCACTGCCTACTGTCACATTTTTGCTCCCTGACATCTTGAAATACGTATATTGTTAAGGAACAAAAGAATCTTCCGGGTTAGTTATTTCCTTTTTGGGGTTTCCTTTGTTGCGTTTGAGCCTCAAATGTGTAAGACGCTCAGCATATTATCTTCCCCAACGTTTTTGGGTTGTTACTCTTTAAAGAGTTGTTGTTCAACCAAAGAGTGATGTTGTATTGTCACGTTGTTCCATTTGTCTTTAGAGACCCGAAGAAGTAAAACGACACAGTGTTATATTTGAGCCTTGGGGTCAATATGTTTGACAAAATACTCTCAAAACTCACGATTTCTTTTTGTACTCATCAGCAGTTAAGATTTTAAATAGTTAAGAATATTTGATCATGTATCCAGTATTTCATAACTGAATGTCCAATCTTGTAAATGATCTCATGACCCCTCTGATTTGACTCCCGATTCATAGGGTGTGTGGGGGGGGGGGGGGGGGGGGGGGGCAGTTTTTCTTTTGCATCAGTCTATTGAATTTCACAGCATCTTTTAATAGTAATGATAACTTGAGTGCCGTCAGACTTCAAACTGCTCTGACACAACAGCCCAGGGTTTGTTTTTCAACGCCCAGCATGTTGAAATAAGCACAAAGTTAATTCTGTTATGCTGATTTGAAGGGATTAAGCTTGTTTGTGATATTGTGCCCTCTTTATTGGTGGCGACCCGGGGCGTCTTATTTAGCGTGGAGTACAAACCTAGAAGGGTAGGGCTGGGTTTCACGCCAAGATGGTTCAACCTCTTGCTTTGTCATCTTACGCCACTATCTTTTAATCTCTCACCCTCGAGGCAAATAAAATTGCTTTCATGTTCATGCATGATACTTTGTAAGATGACATGAATCATTTAGACATGCAGCTCGACGTCACCCTTCTTACATATGCGAGTATCCATCCTCTCATCAGAGCTGGATGAGAGGGCAGTTCAGTTTAAACTTTATCGATGTATGAGTCATCGTTTTCTTCCGAGGCCAGTGGACGAGACCACTGACTCTCCTCCCCTCAGAAACGGCTTCACATTGGGGACTTCTGGGGAGAAGCACTTTGACAAATGGTCCTTCACAGTTTAATGGTGCAGCAGTTGTGCTGCAGTGCATTAATAGTGCCTCCACTCTCACTGGACCCAAAGTTTTGACTCCGCATATCAAAGCCTGTGCTCATGTTCTCGCTCTCTGTGGCGTTAATTAAAGATTCATCTACTCTTGTGCCAGAGGGTAAAGTTCAGGGAGGCCTTGTGTTAACCGTGATGCACGCTGGGAGGCTGCAGGATAGATGGTGGCTCACACAGCACCCTCTGCGTTGCAGTGCTGTGTCATGCTGTTTTGCTGTAGTGTTGGCTTGTCTGTTCGTCTCAATTTAAAACCTCTAGAGAAGCGGCTGCTTTTATTGACGATCTGGAGCTAAAAATACCTGCTGCCTCACCAATCAGAGCAGAGAACAGGTCGAGCAGTGAGATGATTGGATGGGATGTCCCATGGATGTTGCTTATACTGTTCTCCAAATCTCGACGAATATAAAAGAGCATAAGCATACATCTGATAAATACATTAGAAATTAAAGTTGCACCAAGCAAATACTAGCAGCGCTATCTTACAGGTTATTCTTGAATGATGGTGTTCATCTTGTTCATCTTTCTTGCATTTGCTCTCAAGTTTCATTCTGTGCTGAAATTATTTTACAAGTCTGACCATAGTTAAAAAATAATTTGGTCAAAATGAGGCAAATGTGCAGGGTTTTATTTAGGATTTTTAAAAAATTGTTGTATACTTACACACATATTTCCTACTGTTGCAGTTTGAATAAATTCAGATTAATGCCCCGACTCGGATGTTAAGTCTTACAAATGCATAGTTCAACCTTTGAGAAAAACCAAAAATAAATTTTACAAAGCTTCTCCAGCTGAGTCATTCTGTTTCGGCCTCCACCAGCAGGTCGGCCATCACCTTCACAGGCAGAAAGTGAGGTGTGACAGGTGTTCAACCTGCTGCAGACGGGCTGTCAAATGGAGGACACCCACGTCACCGGCTTTAAAGAGAAATCTGATGTGGCGCTAACCTCCACCTCTCCTGCACACGCAGACGTTTTGGACATCATGCGTTTTAACTTTTCTCTTAAAAAATAAAACCCTAAATTTATACAGAAAATCTATAAGTGAATTAAGAAAATGTTTAACCTCTGGAATATCAAATATCTCAAACTACATTATTCCTTTTTATCTTCTCTGCAGCAGTCACATTCTGACAGTAATGATCACTCTCACTGTTTTGTCTCTTTCTGAATGTAGCTGGTAGGTGCAGCAGGCCGGGCAGGTGTGTCCTCAGATAAGATTTCTATCCATTTGATGTCAGAGTGGCTTCCCAGGGCTTTTCAGGGATAAAAAGTGGAACGTAAACGGTTTCTTATATTGACTCGCTTTTCTGCAGTTCTGTATGTTCCTCTGACTTTGTCGCCAACCCTCTGTAGTTCTGCTAATCTTTATAATCAGAAGTCTTTCCAGTGCTCAAGTGCAGCTTACATACGTCTCAACAATTTCTCAATTATAGAAATGTCACTTTTCAGTCACAATAGCAGCTTGCCTTTTTCTTTTGTGAGCTGACATTTGCATGATGACTGTTTTGTATGAAGTTTGCAAAATCAAGACTTAGATTTGGTCAAAAGTGCACACTACATCCTGAGTTGTTCAGTGTATTCATACAGGAGGAATTACAAATTAAAGTATATTTTTTAAATTGTATTGTTCTGTTGTGTGGGTGCGCTTTTTCTAGCCACGCTGAGGCAGCAGAAAAAGATAAAAACGCAATACTGATTTATTGTTACCATATAAACTTTTCATGGTGAACCTGTTAGCCATGGAACAACGAGCTGAACGACGCTAAAACACTGCAGAGTTGGGTGGTAATGCTCTGTGGCTTTGTCACCATGAGCAGCCCCTTTGACATTATCTGTAGTAATTTGATTCATTGTTAACATAAACATGTAACATATTAGTGCAGCTTTAAAGCATTTAACTTGTATGCATTCAAGTGTCATCTCTCTGCTGTCTTTTAAAATGTGCACAGAGATACACATAGCTATAATACAGGTTGAGATTTCTTGTTTACTTGTTGGTTCCTATATTTATTTATATATATGTCCCATAATTACCAGCTTCCAGACTGGCAGCTTTAAAATGCCCACTTTGGTTCAAGGGACTCAGAGCATGAAGGCCAAGCGTGAAGTAAAGATGAGAGAAGGGAAAGTGGGGAGCAAAGAGAGATGGGAGATGAAGGACGAGAGAGGCCCTGCAGCTCAGGGCTTTTCTGCAACATCAAGCCCAGTGTTAGAACCGCTGAGATCACTTTACAGAGCGGTAACAGCCTCCCCCGACTTCTGGGAGTTATTGAGACAGCCATGCACATATGCAAAGTTAGTCTATCATCCTCAGCCGGCCAAGGACCCATGCCTGGAGAACACACAGCAATGAAAGTTATCACTGAACAGACTTCTCAGGGAACTGCTTGTCTCAGCCTCTGGGAAGTTAAATCAAGAGCTGTAGTCAAAGCCACATTCGTTGAGTTTAAATCAATTCTGAAAATAGTCTTTCTAAAAAGGAGAAATAATGCTTTTGAAGTTAGAGAAAGAAGGAGAGTCTACAGAGGCGTATCCATCCAGCAGTGATAAAATCTTTGATGGATGAGGTCAAATACTTCATCAAATCTCCCAACCTGGTTTCCTGGTGTAAATTTAGATCTTTGACAGCCATTACGGGGAGGATTATGTGCTCGTTATCCGTTACCGTGGCCTCATTGAGCGGCGCTGGTCCGATAATCAATGCGGCCAAGCTAGAGAGGCAGACTTCACATATCAATCTGTTTGGTCGGCCTGACAGTTTGCAGCCGCAGACCGTGAGATGTAATGGTCTAAAAATCTGGCTGTGAGACAGAAGCCAAAGATGAGGCTTTGATCGAATGTTTTTCCCCGGGTGTTTTAGATGTGAACGAGAAAAGGGGCAAAGACAAGGTTGTGTTCATTTTAGCAAACAGATTTTTCAGCTCCATATGCAGTCTAATTATTCACTTTTTCTCAAAGCTGCAGAAGTCTTGTAAAAGACCATTTTTTACATTATTCATGCTGCCTTCTGACATGCCCTTTCTCCCGTACTGTTCTCTTTTTCGGTGAAACAAAAAGCAATGCTTTGTCCACACACATTACATCATTTTCACTTCATTAGTGCAGATTCAAAAAGGGAAAGTAAGCTAATTAAATATCCTATTTTGAAAATGGCACAGTCAGAAAAAAATGCTGCTCGAAAATACCATTTTATCTCGATCTGTATTTATGTAATTTTGCTTGCGTGTCAGCTTGATCAAATATTGATCTTCAAGGAGGATTTAAAAAACACTACATTATTATTATTCCTAATAGCGACATGTTGTAGATTTGCTCTACCATGACCCTTGCAGAGCTGGGATGCGTTAATGCGTTAATGCATTTCCATGATTGTCTGGATTGTGTTTACAGTGATGCACCAAAAAAACGAATGTCTCTGGCGGCGGGTGTCAT